GGGGGTTGGGGTGTGGGTGGGGGCATGAGGGCTCTGGCTGACGATGCGGGCTCTGGGGTGCAGGAGGGTAGGACTGAGGGGTTCGGCGGGTGGGAGGGGGATCAGGGCTGGGGCAGGGGGTTGGGGTGATGGAGGGGGTCAGGGGTGCAGGCTCTGGGTGGCATTTACCTCAAGCAGCTCCCAGAAGCAGCGGCATGTCCCCCCTCCAGCTCCTATGTGGAGGCGCGGCCAGGCGGCTCTGCACGCTGCCCCTTCTGCAGGTGCCATTGGCCGCGGTTGCCGGCCAATGGGAGCTGTGGGGGCAGCACTTGGGGTGGGGACAGCATATGGAGCCCCCTGGCTGCCCCTATGTATAGGAGCCGGAGGGTGGACATGCTGCTGCTTCCAGGAGCCGAGGCATGTGCAGAGTGGGGCAAAACCCAGACCCCACTCACTGGCAGGAGCTCAAGGGCCGGATTAAAACATCTGAACTAAACCCATTTCTCCAAAGCCAGTGGGTGTCTCCCTCCAGGTTCTGACCCATAGCTTGGTACTGGGAGGGAGAGGGGTGGTGCTCACTTTGTAAGATGGATTATCAAGTCATACAGGATAGTAACGTGTTGGCTTATTGCAGCTGGTTCTGCAGCTCTGGGCAGAGGCTACCGGTGAGATGGTGAAGGTGCCAGGATGTCCCGGGCTGCGCCGGCCCTCGGGTTACCTCCCCACGGCTCTGTTCTTCGCGGCGCTCTGCGGCTCTGATGCTGGCCTCAGGAGGAAAGGTACTGGCTGGTTCTCACTTTCCAAACCTGCTCGTCTGCCTTTCCCTCCCCTCCTGGGTGAAACCTTCCCATCAAAATGTTTTTGATGGAAAATCGGGTATTCGACAATCGGGTATTCGACAATTTTTTGGCAAAAAAAAATCTGCTTCCCCCTGGAAAACTTGGATGTTTTTTTAACTGAAGCACTGAGCACCTGAAAAGCAGAATATTTTCATTTGGCTAGGCTGCTGTGGGACCTCATGGGAGTTGTAGTCTGGGTGTCCCCTGCTCCTGTTCTCTTCTATAGGCCAGTTAGACTACACTTCCCATGATGCAACATGGTGTCCGTTCTTGGACACTGGAGGTGGTGAATTATGGGCGATCCTGGCTGTGGTGTATCATGGGAGTTGTAGTCCGGTCAGGCAGCCCGGCCTATAGAGGAGAATGAGGAGCGTGAGGCACATGAACTACAACTCCCATGAGGTGCTGCAGTAGCATTTCCGAATTGAAATATTTGGGTGCTTGAATTTTTGCGGAAAAATCAAAAATGTCCAGGTGGGAAAAACCCATTTCCTGACCGTCTCTGCAGCCTGCCCCATACCTCCTGCCTTGGTCCCCAATGCCGCAGCTCTAGGAATAGTGGGGTGAGAGCTGGGCTGGCCGCTGGTTGGTCTCCCACCCCTCCCGCAGTAGATCTAGCCAACCCAGTAGCTAAGATGCCAGGAGCTGGCTGAAGTTAGGTGCAACGGCTGGTGCTGGGGGGAGCTCTCGGGAGAGAGCTTGATGGAGATGAGGAATGTAAAAGCCCAGCCAGATTAGCCGTGGGTTTGCGGGCAGCGGGCATTTCACTGTTGGTGAGTCACTACTTCTCCATCCCTTCCATGGAACCAGGAAGTCCCCCACCATGCTGGTCTTGAGGTCAGCCCGAATCAGGCTGAAATCTGGAGCGAAGCTGGGGCGGGCGTCCTTCCCAGAGCAGCCAGACGCCGCAGGGAGCGGCATGGGGGACTCGGCGCCTCCGGATCTAACCTCTCTCTGCCCTGGGGGAAATTTGGGGTGAGGGGAGACGATCCAAGGGCAAGAGGGAGGAAAAAGAAGGGGTTGGAAGCATGCTGGGGTCCGGAGGGAGGGGAGAGAGAAACCAGCACGCTGCCCTTTGCCATCCCTGCGAGATAAGATATCCCCATCCTACAGAGGTCATAGATCACCAGTGACTCTGCCGGGGAGAGATGCCCCATCCCCTTGCTCTAACCCGCTGGACCCCACTCCCTCCCAGAGCTGGGGAGAGAACCCAGGAGTTCTGGCTTCCAGCAACCCCCCTGCTCTAACCGCTAGTCTGCATCATGCTTCACTGCCTTCTTACCCCACTGAGGGGCTCCTGGTCCCCCTTCCCCCATTTTAACCCTCGATGTGCCTGTTCGTCCCTTCCAGATTGCCAGTTCCCGGACCCCTCCGATCACACTACCTACAGGTGCGCGTCCCCGGCGTGCAAGCTGTCTCTGGGCAGCGGCGCGTTTAAGGCTGGCTCCGTGGTGCAGCATTTCTGCGAAGCCGGCTACGCCCTGGCCGGCCACCCTGGGGTCTCTGTCTGCAAGGGCGGCCAGTGGAGCGTGCTGAAGCCGGTCGTCTGCAAGCCCCTGGCAGGTCAGTGCGTGCCCAGCCCGGCTGTCCCTCTCCTGCTGCGATGGGCAAGGGCCTCTGCCAGAGACGTGGCACCTACTGGGCCCCTGCAGCAGCTCCCAGGGCCTGTTTGCCCAGCCCGGCAGCAGCTGCTAGTGTAGGCAGATGTGGTGCTGCCCTGGTGCTGAGAAATGGGTGCTGGGGGAAATGCAACCTCTGTGCCGCTTGCTTCCTCATCTGTATTATCATTGTATATTGCACTCGCACCTAGGAGCTGCCATCCATGCCCCTGGCTCCCATTGCGCCAGGCGCTGTACGTTTTTATTGCTATTCAGTATATTACGGCAGCGTGTGCGTGCCCCAGTCATAGACCACATTGTGCCAGGCGCTGTACATTTTTATTGCTATTAGGTGTATTACGGTAGCGCCTAGGCCCCCACGTCATGGCCCAGGTCCCCATTGCACCAGGCGCTGTACGTATTTACTGCTATTAGGTGTATTACGGTAGCGTGTGGGTGCCCCAGTCATAGACCACCCTGTGCCAGGCGCTGTACAGTTTGATTGCTATTAGGTGTATTATGGTAGCACCTAGGACCCCACATGGCCCAGGTCCCCCCCATTGTGCCAGGCGCTGTACAGACACCGAACAAAAAGAGGGCCTGACAAAGCCTAAAATCCAGGTATTAGCCCCATTCTGCAGCTGCGGACTGGAGGCCCAGGTTTACCAAGGTCCTTCGATGCCCGACTCCCGTGAAAAATCTGGGCCTTAGAGTGACTCGCCCCAGGCCAGCACCCTCCCCACCGTGTCACGTCTCTGAACCCGGGCCGACGGGCGCTAACCAGAGCTGTGGATGCATTCAGGCTCCCGGGTCCACCACTCCCCTAGGCGTCAGAGCCTGAGCCGTTACGTCTACACGGCTGCATGTAGCGCCGGAGCTCCAGGCCGGGTCGGAGTGGGGCTCTGAGGCTCGCTGCCGGCGGGCTGGGTAGACGGACCCACCCAGGCGCTTGCCAGCGGTCGCTCCCAGGCGCGCCTTTGCCCTCGCTCAGGAAGCTGCGTCCCGCAGTGCGTGGGCGTCTCCCTGTGGCCGGGCTGCGTTTCCTCTCCGTTACGTTCGGGGGCGGGGATGTGTGAAACTGCTGGTGGAAACTTCCTCCTGCTCCGTGACGGGGGGACGCAGCCCGTGTGACGCCTGCCGGGAAGGGTGGTGCTGGGGAAGGGGGATGGTGGACGCACAGAGGAGACCCCCATCTGCCCCTGAGCTGTTCCCTCACCCCCTGCCCTCGCTGGCATCCCCATCTCTGTTCCAGGAGGGATGCTGGCACCCACAGAAATTGGGGTGGGGGGGCCCTTTGCTCCCTTTTGCCCAGCACTGGTTGGGACGAGGCGGGTGAAACCCAGCCACGGTCAGTCATGTGAGAACACCCCTGTTTAGTGCCCAGCCCACGGTGCTGTCCCCGCTCCAGACCACTAACCTATTAACTAAAGAGAGGCTGCGTGGCCTAGTGGAGAGAGCGCTGGGACGCGGGAGCCCTGGTTTCTGTTCCCTTGGCCAGCTGGATAACCTTGGACAAGTCACTGCATCGCCCCGTGCCTCAGTTTCCCCACCCACCCTTTGTCTATTTAGACTGAGCTGTGAGAGACCGGCAAGGGGGGGCGGGCAGTGTCTCTGGGTCTGGGCGGCGCCTGGCACAAGAGGGGGGACCCCCATCTTGGCTGGATTCTGTGCAACCAAGGTCCCCCAGATCTTGGTGTTGCCAGGTGCCATGGGATTTCCCTCTATAGAGGCACGTGCCTTCCTGGCACCTGAGCGCCATCTAGGGCCTGGAGGGTGCACGTCTCCCATCTGGGTTTCGAGTCCCTCTGGCTGCTTGTTGTTTAATGCATCCCCTTGGGGGTGGGGCTCGAGTTTGGGGGGGCTGGTACCTGAGATCTGGCCGCCTTGAGCTGCAGGTGGCTGTGAAATGTCCCAGCTGCTGCGTGTGACCCGCTGACCTTCTCCTCCCCCGCAGGATCCCCGGTGCCTCGCCCCGGCTCCGTCATCACTGTCTCCTCCATCCCCATGGTGGCTGCGGCCTCGGTGACGGCGTCCGCCCTGCTGCTGGTGGCCATGGTGTGTGTCCTGGTGGGGCCGAAAACCTGCAGCCACTGGTGCTGGAGGTGAGCTCCGCCGCCTTTCTGGGGTGGGGGGGGGGCTGCCCCGGCTGTAGCAACGATGCTGGGGGGGCAGGTGCAAGCCTGTGCTCCCTTCTCCCATTGGTTGATGCTCCCCCAGGGGTCCAGCCCCCACCCTCTGTCTCTCCCCTTCCTGCCCAGCCCTTCGGGACGCATGGGTCTGACTCGCCCTCTGGCCTCGACTCATCTTTGCCCGTTCAGTCCGTGCTGATCCCGAGGCGGGACTAGGGGGCACCACGCTGCAGGGGACGGGGCTGCGCAGAGGGTGCTGGGGAAACTGACGCCCACCGAGAAGGGAAGTGACTTGCGCAGGGTCAGTGTAAGGACCAGGGCTCCCAGCCCCCCTGCGCTAACCACTAGCCCCCACACTCCTCCCAGAGCCAGGGA